ACTTACAAAAGTGACAGAAAACATTTATCAGAAGTCGTTTTGTCTACATGTATCATCACCATGAAAAGCACAGCTCTTTCAAGCAGTTTTCACTTAATGTCTACGTGTAAAGCCTGTCAAAATCTTCTTTTGTTGTGCTTGAAAATAAATAGAAATTGTCTTTTTTTTTCCAAATTAGGAGCACGGCAAATGTGCGTCCGTGTGTGTGTATGCAGGCAGACTTTGCCTACGTAGCCATTATGAGTCAACTGTGAGAGGCACTGGCTGGCTTTCTGCCTGGATGCCCCGCAGGCCTTTTGCTCAGTCTCTCAGCTCTCCGCAGCAGTTCCCTAATACCCGCTTTGGGGTACCTACACTGGCTCTAAACCCACCTAGCTGCACAACCAGCTCCATTTTCCCCCTTGCTTGTCCTGTGAAATATTATCTCCCATCCTTTTACATTATTCCCTCACATCAGCAGACTCTGCTCTTTCTCCCTCCTCCAATTTATGCAACAGATCCATATTCTGGATTATATTTGCAGAGCAGCTCTTAAGAGGAGAAGGGGGTGGGATTACATACATTTAGAGTCACGTTGCTCACCCACAACAAGTGACCTACATAAACGGCAGGAAGCTAATTGTTGAACGTATTCATGCAAGCATCTCAACATCAGGCATGGTGACCTAAGGGCTGAGCTGCGCTGGGATCTCCTGCGTCGCTCCACTGAGGGTCTAACAGGACTGAAAACACTGGCAGAAACAGCCTGACCACCTGAGGGACGGATTCTCCTACACTTTTGTTTCTCAGCAGCCTGCCAAGTTTACGTGAGCCGTGTAAGGAGTCGCAGTCTGCAGTTGTGGTTCTTTGGGGACTCAGGAGCAGGAGCTTTCTCACTCAACACATGGGAAATCTGCTTCTTCTGAAGAATTGTTGTCTGTGTTTGTGTGTGTAAGTGCGTGTGTGTGCACATCAGGGGAGGCAACAAGGACAACACAAGAGCACCACCTGCTGGTCCAAGGATGCCCTCAGAGATCTGACTGTGTTGTCTATTATTAACCTATGTGGGCATCAACCTGAGATGGATAATTGTGATGTGAAAGGGAAATGATTTATGGTTTGCATTTTTTGTTCATAAATAAATGACTGCAAAGTGTCATTTATTTATGTCAGCCACTTTGACAAAGGGCTGTCAAAAACCAGCCCTTTGCTCTACACTTCTCTCTGAACAGAGAGTCTGTTCCCTCGGTTATTGAGAAACGATTGCATGCTGGAGGTGTGGAGTCTGTTAAAGGGGAACAACGTTAGGATATTTAGTGTGGCTTGCAGTTGCAAAATTTTTTCTTGTGCTTCTTTTTTGTTGCATATATGTCAAAAAGTTCAATTTTAGCATCATCTGACCGAAGAATGCTCTTCCACATCTTTACTGTCTTCCCGACATGGCTTGTGGAAAACTCCAGAGTTCCTGGAGGCTTCCTTCCCAGCAGTGGCTTCCTTCTTAACACATATTCATATTAGCTAAATTTGTGAACTGCACAACTGGCTTTTGGTCTTTATAGGTACTTCCACATGAGCAGAGGACCCCTGCAGACCCTTCAGAGTCACCAGTGGACCTTTTGACAGCTTTCCTGGTAAGCGCTCTCTTGCAGTGTTGTCATCCTTGTGTGTTTGGGCTTTTATTGTGTCTGTGTTTTCCCATAACTAGTTTATTTCTCTGTGTTCATTATTGTTAGCAAGATGTTTCCGTATTAGTCCATTCCTTTGTGTGTGGTTTCTCAGTGGTGTGGCTTGTGGTGCATTTAGATTTCGTACTCTGTAAGTCTTTTCCCAGTGGTTTCTATTCTCCTGAATCTTAGTTCAGCTCTCTCCAATGATTCGTCAATTTCCTTCTTCCTCCTATCACATATTTTCTGATTACTTCATCTGATTCCTTGGTCTTTTCTTATTACTTCCTTGGTATTTGTATGCCAATTTATTTATTTATATTTACTGTATATTGTTGGATTTTTCTGCAAAGTGATGCTGTCTGAAGGTAATTAGTTGCATTGAATTTTTATTTTAGTGTATTAGAGTAAGGGGGGCTAGGGTTAAAACTAAAAACAGTTTGTAATCGTCTTTCCTCAGAATGATGTTTTAATTTTCAATAGTGTATCATCTAAAATCCTAATCAAATACTCTGAAAATGTGGTTGTCTGTTTCCGCCTCATGAATGTAACAAAAAGCTTAAGTTAATCATTCAAGGAATTACTTTTGTCTAAAATATCCACAATTTTAAGCTTCTCACACACAAACTGGAATACATATTTCTCCATTTGTTTTTTTTTTCCAGTGACACATTTTTGTATTTACTGACCTCATTCATAAAGGATTTACCCTACTATTAGAAGCCACAATGGAGAAAGAATTTGGTGATTTAAGCCCGGCCTTCCCGGAAACCACAGTTTACCGAACAAAAAAACTTGGCACCTCTTGAAACATGCATTTATCCCAAACATGACTAAAACACACGAGAAAGCGCTGCTGTGTCTGTCAGCCGCAGATCAGCTCTGAGGAAGACAAATGGCTACGTGTCGAGAACACGACCAAAATTACAAAGCAGATGTTCCGTTATGACAGAATAGGGAGTTTGGGCCATCTGAAAAATGAAAACCCAGCCTCGCTGCAGAGGGCTGACGCTGGGCCAGGAGGGTGAGGCTGTTTTTACACAGAGCGCAAAAATAAAATGACTAACATGAGTTGGAAAAGAGAAAGGGGGTGGAAATTTTGTTTTGGGGGGTTTTATTCAGGTGCGCTTACTTGTTCATGCAAAACTAAACACTCTCAGTTCTGTTTGACCAGAACTGAGAGCTCTGTTAAAATCCACTGGAGCAAGTCGCAGCATGGACAGCTTCCCCCAGTCACAACTGTGTCCTGTGTTTATGACAGCTACGTGGAGGAATAAAAAAAACCCTCGAAGCTCAGAGTTGTTAGAACACTCTTGGTGCAGGTGCTGCAGGATTCGCCATGTTTTGGTCATTTCCTTGATGTTTCTGTGCATCAGACTGCTAATGTCTGCAGGCAGGCGCTAGAGGGAGCTGAGAGATTACCCACACCATGGGCATCCAAAGACATGGCAGAATGCTGCCATTACCCCAGGGAAGGGAAAACATCACAGAATGGCAGAGGGCCCAACTTAAATAAACACAATGAAGTCAAGACAGCAGCTAAAGTAAGCTGGCTTTGCCTGTCTGTCTGAGCCCGTTGTTAGGCTCCTATAATTAAAAGAGGTCGCTGGAAGGCAGCAGTGATCCTATAAGAGGGAAGACTATAATATTATAGTAATATGTTGAGCGTAGATGCCAAGTCCTGGAGCAGGAGATCCAAGTATGGGGGCAGGAGACTCCACCCACAGGTGGAAAAGTGAATTTCATGTATATATATATTTTTCTTTCTTGGGGGAAAATGTCTGGGATGTTTATGTTTTGTTGTGATGTTAGTTAGACTTTGTTTTTTTTTTATTTATTTAATCATTTTTGTTTATTATTCAAAAAAAAATTTCATAACGCTGATTACATTATGACAGCTTTGAAAGCTTCAGATCAAATTCAGATCCCTGGAAGCAAATATGAAGAAGTAAGCTGTGGTTGGAAATTTTTCTGCCCATCTTGTGTTGCTGTGAGGAATCAAAACTAGGGGCAGTCGAACAGCGAAACGGCCCGTCATTGTGATGATTTCATACTCTCCGTTTATGCAACATTCAAAACGCTCAACTCAGTCAGGGTGTGGAGATGGAAAGAAGTACTCTAGATGAGCAAAAGGACAATTAATGAAAATGATGTGTTTTACAGAAAAAAACAGGAAAGGAAACCAATAAAAGCAATAAACGACGAAGCAACATGTTGTGACACTGTCCATGAAAAACATCCTGTACAGGCCTCATACTAATTGAAAGAGTAGTTTCTAAGTTCTAGTTGTTTTTGTTGTTGCTCTTTTTCACCAGTTTTGTGGCTTTAGTTTTTATAGTGGCAATTTGGATCTAGCACGCCACAAAGAACAGTCAGATGAAATTCAAATAATTGCAAGCTAATTCAAATTGCTTTTATCATAAAATCCTCATTTGCACTTTGTTTAAGTCCTGGCACAAAGCTTGATTTACATGATCCAACGATTAGCTGAGCAGAAACTTTTAAGAGGAAGACGAGTCGATTTCTGGAGGTGAATCTGAATCTGGATAATTGCTAGGACTGTTGCCTAAAGACCGTTGATTTGTGACACTGAGCAGCCACCAGTGCGGCGCTCATGGTAGATGTGATTGTTTCTGGAGTGAAGGAGAGACTTTTAAAGGCCACATCTTCAAGAAAAACACAAAGACAGACTGAGATTAGCAACAGGATTGGACAGGACGACCCCAGGTAGTTCCCTCTTTTGGAAGATTGGGGGGAAAAATGATTGTTTGGAGAAGGGAAAAGAAAAAGAGTGCTACCTCAACTGCTTCATCGTGATGACAGCGAAGCATCCACAGGCCATTCATGTGAGGAGCCGCCTCAATCAACTCTTAGATCTCAAGGGAGACTCGATTACAGCCATGAACAAAGAAGGGGCTCATAACTTCCTCTAAGAGCAACTTTGGCAATAAATAACATTTTTCCAGCAGAAATAAGAAAACGATTTTATAATTGAGCCCCAAAATTACATTCACCACTGGCAGATTTACACAGAAAGTGATATCTAATTTAAAAAAAATCATGTTTTCTGTCTTCTGACTGCACAGAACTAAACATTAGGGTGATGGCAAGGAGGCCTACCAACCATGTCACCAAAGTCACAAAGCAAGCAACAACAAAAAAAGTTGCTGAAATGGAAAGATTTTGACAAAGCTCATTGAATTTCAACATGACATTAAAATAAATAAATAAATAAATAATAATAATAATAATAATAATAATAATAATAATAATAATAATAATAATAATAATAATAACACTCCATGCACTGTTTTCTTTCGAGATACGTTTTATTAGAAACCAACTTGTTGACTGATTGACAAACTTTTTAAATGCAATTCTTCCATGACGTGGAAATGTCTCGACCTCAACACAAAAATCAGATCTCTTGCGCACACAGTGGGCTTTACTGTGCATGTGGGGCTCTTTCCCCGGGTGGGATTCAAACAAGAACCGCCACTGACCATAGGAGGGGTTAACAGAGGTAGGGACCTCCACGCCCACCCCGCCTCTCGGTCCCACCTTTCCACGGGTCTCTCGCTCCTCTCTGCTCTTCCTCTCAGTCTGACGGACTCCGGCGCGACTCACGGCTGAATCCCCGGAGTGAAGATGCGGGCGGTCGGAGCCGCGGGTGTCGCTGAGCTGTGGGCCGTGCTGGCCGCCCTGGTGGCCGGCGCCGCGTCCGAACTGGCGACGCTGGTGCAGGAGCAGGTGGAGCCCGAGTCGCCCGTGCTGCCGCCGAAGGTTATGATCGCGATCCTGGCCCGGAACGCGGCGCACAGCCTGCCGCACTACCTGGGCTGCATCGAGCGGCTGGAGTACCCGAAGGAGCGCATAGCGATCTGGTGAGAGGGCGCGCGGGTGGGGAGGTGACCTGCAAAAAAGAAACAACAAATCGTAGTGCCAGATTCTGTTCAGTTGTGACCTGCACGGTGGTCCAAAAACAAGCGGTTCGTAAACTTTGCCGACAGACCTCTCGGTGCGTTTTCCCCAAATTGCACAGTGTGGAAGAAGATGAAAGAGCTTTGTGGCGTGTTAGGGTGAGACTTAACCCTTAATCACGGTTCCATCCGCCTGATTAAGCATGAACGTGCGGAAACAAGCGGCTCTTTAAAACAGCAGGACTCGCAGGTATGAAAGAGGGGTTTCACCACAGGTAGGGTCCCGTAAACTGGCCGAGGAGAAGATGAAGCAGACAAAGAGGGCGCCTGCAAGGTGTAGGGATGAAAGAAGACATTGAGCTGGTTTGATAGCAGAAGGAGGGGAGTGTGCTTATGTGTGTGTGTGTGTGTGTGTGTGTGTGGGGTGGGTGTGCGCGTGCGGGTGAGAGAGAGTGTTCTTGGAAGTCATGTGTGAAATATATGTGAGCCTCTGCACAGACTGGATGGTGGCTATGCAGGATTATGAATCAGATGATAGAAAATGTTTGTGGAATCGGAGAATTTGAGCCTCAGCTATGCAGACTTCAAAAGATGAGATGATTATCTTATGAAGGACAAGTTTTAGGAGGTGTGCTTCTGCATCTGTGCACTGATTTTTACCTCTCATATGATGCATTGCCAAAGTGCTGTTGTTCCTTTTCTGTGCTGTATTTTGTATGTTAATAAGATTTTACGTGAATGAATAACGCAAAAGAAAAACGTAATGCAAAAGACGAGTAACGGGTTTCATCTGTTGTTGCATCCCAAAGTCCTCTGATGGCATGAAGAAAGCTGCTGTCGGTGTGCACTATGAGACTGAAATCAAACATTTTGTCCTGCCAAAATCACAGGTAGGAGAGGAATCCATCTTCACTGTGAGACATTGTGTTGGCTGCATCATCCTGTGGGATGTTTTAGCTTCCCAAGTGGAGTTGATTAATCGGGCCAGTCACGGTTTCTGCAAAGTACTGACTCACTGGGGCTGAATTTTTATGCACATCACATTTCGTTAGTTTGTTTTTCAGACCGGTCTTTATCGAAAAATTGTGCATTTCTCTTTCACTTCACATAATTTATCCCATCGAATCTCATGAAAAAATACTTTGAAGCTTGCGGCTCCACATATCAAAAGGTGATCTGATCTCAGCAAAGATATAGATACCTTTGCTGCGTTTCAGCAGGTGGAGCGTTGTTGTTTTGGGTCCCTCCCTTCTGTGGACGACACTGTTTGCACGAGGTCCACTTCCAGTCCAACGAGCCTCCTCAGATTCATCCAGTTTTCACGTGAGAACTCAGATGCTGGGAAAAAAACTTCTCACGGAGAGAGAACCGGCACTTTGCGGCAAAGTGTGAAAGGCACTTAAGCTTACACGGATTTGTGATCATATTAACCAACAGAGAAAGGGTCAGTCATGAGGGCCGACTCTGTGCTCTGCTGTCAGTGCATACAGGACTAATGCTCTCTTTGGGATTTAATGCAGTGTCGAGGTTTGCAGATACAGAATAGGCCGAAGCTCATTGATCAGTTTTTAGCTTCTGATGCGCAAACTTAATGCAGTCTAACGAAAGAACGTCGATGTTTCTGGCTCTGATGAAAATGCCACGACAACATAAGTTGCAGTTCAGCAAACTTATAATCTTGATGTCTTTTAGCTGTAAAACACATAATTCAGCTGCTGTTTACTGGAAAAAAGTTCAAATAATAACATTATTATTTCTATTGGCTGTTTGGGGTTTCTTATACCTAGTCACAATAAACTACAATAATTTATTTCCACGTCTAATTAGATGACAAACAGATGAGGGCTTCGGCCTTTCACTCAAGCGCAACTCGACAAAAATACTGACTGCATGTGAGTCATTGCTTAAGTAGCCAATAACCATGGCAGCTATTAGCTACAGTATTACAGCAACATTTTCAGCAACACTAATATTAAAAACTAAAAAAAATAAATAAATGTTGAATTAGTTATTTGCATAATTGCATAATTAATGGGCAGATTAAAAACAGTGTCATCTTTTCAAGTAAACACTGAGATGATTGTTTAAAGTGCTGCTTTTGAAAGTTTCTGCTGTGCTGCTGTGCATGCATGCAAGCAAGTGGACATTCAAATCCAACTTCACTTATTTATATTTCTAGACAGATTCTAGTGAATTTGCGATATCCTTTGCCATCACAAGGAGAACTGTAGCTGTTTTACTACCTCACTTGTTGCGCTAACGATGTAATGAAGAACTGCCATAATTTGTTTGCCTCTGCGGTTGCAAGGTTTGTTTAAAGAAAGCGCTTTTAGTGTGCAATACAAAGTGAGCCAGAAGCCCAATAAATGTCAACTAAGAACTAAATACTGAAGCTCAAACACTGTCATAGATCTGGGTTCTGTTGATGTGAAACAGAAAGACTGGCGTTTCGAAACGTCAAGTGCATTTTAACTCGTTGGCATTATAATTGTTTGTCTTTGAACAAAGTTTATTGGCTTTTTGTGGTTGCGAAAATAACACGTCTTAGTCTTTTTGTGTGTTGCTGTGTTCATTATCATTGCAGCTTGTGGCCACAGCCAACCACCCAATAAATGCCCTGAAAAATAATACAGGAAATAAAACATTCACAGAAGTAGGGAAACAAGCTCTTTGAGCAAACACATCCCAGTTGACATGACTGAGGTGAAACTTTGTGACGTTTCAGTCTTTATTTAAGGGCTTGTATGATAATATACACTTAAGGTTATGTGCAGATGTCAGGTGGAGCTCAGGAAGCACACTTCACTTCTGCCTGGTGTTTATGTGCCGACAGGTGAATAAATCTTAACCCTGGAAGATGGGTGGCATTGATGAAGTTTATAAATTAATTCCTATTAGAAGTGAGATGTCTTTAGATCATAAAGCAAATATAATAGCTTGAATATGTAGTTAGATTTGTAAATCATCAGTGAAAAAAGTACATGGAGATAATTGTAATTTTGTGAAATCTGATCAAAGTTGAAGACTCAAAAACGAGCCTGGGGCCAATAGTAGAGCCCTGAGGCGCTCCACAACTGAGAGGGAACACTGGCAGAAAGATTTAACTTGTAAATATTTACTATAAATGGAAATGCTCATTTAAAAAAGTAATACGTTTTCACTTAGTTGTGAAAAATCTTTGTCACTCACTGCTAAATCCATATCATAAAATGTTCAGAGGAGGTCCAAAGATAACTTTTTAAAAACCTTCCTACTAAAAAATAATGTTTAGGACAGGAAATATAAATACTTTCCTCAGTACCACTGAAGCTGTAGCTTAGTTGATGAAGCTCATCAACTAAGCTTGTAACTGACATATATGTTTTACAAAAAGCACAGAAAGCCTGTTGGTGAAGGTAGTGGGACAAAATTCAGTTTAGACCTAATCCATAATCCTACTGCTGCTCTTTTTCTGTGCAGATTATTTGTCATTGAATGCCAGCCCTCCTTTATTTAGAAATTTCCCCCTCGAAGTGGGCACTGATCTTATCAAATAGTCGCAGAGGAAGGAGAAAACCTCTCATGCCCTTGTTAGTAAATGAAAGAATGCTAGGTATTAGCAGAGGGAGGAGGGCTGCTGGAGAGCGAGAGGTCAGCAGTGTTCGAAATTACCCAGAAGGCATAGCAATAGGGATAATCTGCATTGTCAAACTAACTCAACTAAATCTGCCCTCCACTTGAACCATGAAAGGTTTCTTGCTTCGCACTGAAATGCATCCATGAAAGTACAGCTGCAATAAAACATAACCCAGCAAGATAACATCATCAGCGCTTCATTAACAGATTATTGATTATTTCTTTTATTAGAAGCAGATAACCAGACTGGTGTTCCCTATAATCAGCTGTGAGGGAAATCATAAGAGACTCCGTGAATTGCAAAATATGTGTTTTGGCTTTCGGTATTAACCGTCGATGCGGATGCATCGTCCTGCTGTTTTAAGCAACGCTGCGATAACATTCGTTTCTGGCTGCCTGCTGTCGAATGCCTGCCGGCTCTGTTCATGTCGGGGTGGAGCGCTTTTCCAGGTGCTGAGCTCGGGGTTAAGATGATTTGTGGACTTGTCAGAGTTGGACCTAAAGTGGAAATAGGACTTACATAATTGCCTTTCCCCTCAGGACCTGCATTCTCACTTTTATGGCACAATGTTATCTGTTCTTATAAAACCACCAACCATCACAGAGCTCAGGATCAATGAGGTTTGTTTCATATGGTTTGATTTATAACAGTCTTAAAGTCTATGAATGTTCTTGTAATTTATTGGTTGAAATGATACACAGCTATAAAATATCTGACTATCTCTGATCTACAGCGAGTGGATGTTTAGTTTTCAACTCAGAAATCTGATTTATTTAAAGGTCTAGAATATGATATAACAGCACAGGGTAAGAATTTTCCAGATTTGCATGAATACTTTAGCTCTGACATATCTGCCCTATGTACTGCAGCTCAGATAAATGCCATTTCTCACACAACGTAGCCTGAGGACCTTTAACTCGCGTGATATGACGCCATCCAGCTATTTTGACAAGCGCAATGAGAAATGTGGGTAAAATGGACCGCAACAAATGGAACTTGAAAGTTGAGTTAAAGTCTGTCTGGCTGGATGAGTTATGCTGTGTGTACTGTGGAGCTTCACTGATGTTTGGCTTGACAGGAAGAAAGTTTTCATGTTGAAGGCAGTTAGTCACATCAGCAGTTTGCAAAGCATCCCCATAATGCACATCAGTCTGGTGGACTGAAAGGCTTTTCCACACCTTTGGTGAAAGTGCTGACATGTGGTTTGGCTTTTTACACTCCAACTGAAAGAAATAATTTATGTTGAATTGATGGACGCCTGCCGGTTGAGTTTGAAGGCAACACATTAAACACATCATGGAAAATCTAACAAAATCAGCCAAGATATTAGGAAGAAAATGACCTCCAC